TAACTTACCTCTAAGTGCCTTCGATCAAAATTATATGATGTTGACGCCTCCTCTGTGTACAATCCTACCCTGATTATTATACGTGGTAAAGCCACGCTGCAGCTATATTATAGTTGTGGTACGAATGGGTCGGCTAGACCCGGGAAGCACTACGCTCTCACAGAATACCAGCGTAAAATAGCAGCTTAATACTGCCTGCTGTGCTTCGTATGGTGAGTGTAGAGATCTAGAGACCCTTTTTTACTGGAAACGAGGCATTCTATCTTAATCCTCAGGGGTGGCATCTGCATTTTGATTCTCAATCAAAGATATATGTAGATGTTTATGGGCCACAACATCTATTTACCATCAGTTGGACTGTGTGCTCGTTTGTCGCCCTTATTCTATATAATAAATTTAAAAAAAAAAATAGAACTACTTGCGTTATTTGTAAACTTCATTACTCTTTATTGTAATCTTTATTTGTATTGTTAAACAGCAATAACCGTTTTGAGCCTTCCCAAGAACTTTGCAACTCTGTATTTCCGTTTCGATTACAATCTAGATGTCTTCAAGGCGAGAGTAAATAGGTAGAATGAACTCCGTGCATGTGGTTTTAAAAGTACATTATCAGTGTTTTACAAAACTCGATTGTAGAGCTATATACCCCATAACAGATAGATACTTTTCAAGCTACAGGCACTAGAAATTTAATCGTAAAGTGAAGCTGCTGACAACATTTAAGTTTCATTTATTCAATGGGTGCGTTTGGCAGAAAAAAGCGCTAGCAAGCGCTTGTAAGCAAAATGGCGATCGTAAGCGGTAAGCGCTGTCAAATCGTAAGTAGCTATTTTCCTCCAGGACACGATGTTAGTTTTAACCGGGGAATCTAACCTAATTTAAATATATGTTTGTAAAGTATTCTTATTAAAAACTTACCAATCATGTTACCCCCCTCACTCCAACCATACCATTTTTAATAACATGTATATGTTTATTCATGTCATTATATTACTTAAAACTAATATTGCGCAAAACAACTTATAAACTCTACTTCAAAACAAACAAATTAAATAAGCAAAATGGCGGATTGTGTCAGCACTACTGAAGTAGCAATCATGTCCTTGCCGAAAACTATTTCAGCGCTTATAAGCGCTTGCTAGCGCTTTTTTCTGCCAAACGCACCCAATGTAATGAAATTAAAATGCCGCTGCTGTCGCAACTCAGGGAGAGAGGATATTTGCCATAGTTGCCACGTTTGTATGTATATATCGCGCCTAAATAGATAAAATCGCCATCGTTTAAAAAAAAATACTTTCGGTTGAAACACGCTTACGGACTAGGACACAGAACCGGATAAATTGTCCTCTCAGTATAGTCTACTCCTGCATATAATAACGTGGATGCTCACGGTATATTTTCCGGCTTTTCATTTGACACGTTTATAGTGGAAAGCCTATACATGCTACTTCTTTGAAACCTTTATTGTACTGATACAACTGGGGTAAGTAATCGTGGAAACCAACGTTCCATGCACGACCAGTTCCACAACCGCCCGACGACCATACGTGGACACATATAAAAAATATACATTGATCAATACGTTTAGGGATCTAATGTAAAGTGTCTTCCAACAAACTATCTACATAGAAGTGTATTTCTTTATTTAATGATTCATGAAAGCAGCCGCAGCGTAAGCATCATGTAGATGCGTGCAAGTAGAGAAAGTAAACAGCGTTACGATAAACTTGTCAGCTACATTTTACATACATATTGCATTACTTTAAACTAAGCCCTCAGCGCAGTATCTGATACAACCGGGAGTTTTATTCACATAGTATGACAATTTTTTGGATTTTATCTCTTTTGTTTCTAAATTATTTTTAACTATCGACTCATTAATATACGGGACCTTTTCCCATCTAATAACATCGAAGCACACTCGCGCGCGCAATTGTATGTTATGAAAATTTCCTTTAAGGTTTTCCCGTACTTTCCGTAAAAAACAATAAAGATTTCCGTAAAGAACTTTCCCGTACTCATTGACTTATATATTACCTGTATCAGCCTATAAAAGTATACTGCTGAACATAAACCTCCACATGTATATGCTCATGGGGGGATATTTGCCATAATTGCCACACTTCGCAAGACGGGTAGACTGGTCATGCTGCTGCCCATCTCCTGGTGTTTCCCTTTTTCGCATCTTACGGCAGCAACGGGCCGATATAGGGTAGTGAATATACTTATACCGCCACTACAGTGCTGCAACAAAGTATTTACTTCTAGTGAGGATATAAAAGATTTATAAAAGATTACTGCCTCGTTGGTCTAGTGGTTGTAGTAGTGCGACTGCTGATCATGAGGTCCTGGGTTCGAATCCCGGGTCGGGGCAAAAATAAATTATTGAGTTTTTCTGTCAAGAAATTCTCAGTAGCTGCCGGGAGTCAGGAAGTTGTGGCGGTGTCTCACTCCCGTGCCTCAGAAAGTACGTAAAGCCGTTGGTCCTTGATCTCTCTCCCGGTGGTGTCGGTTAACCGTCCCATCGGATTACGAGAGTGAGGAAATAGAGAGTGCACCTGTGCTTGCGCATACACTTGGGCACTATAATCCTGTACTGCGCCAATGGCTAGCCTCCGTTGAGGCTGGCCGCCGTGGCCGAAATTCTGTCTGGAGGATATTATTATTATTATTATTATGGGGTATCTATATAGTTTTCTCATCTGGTTGGGTTCTATAAATATATAATTATAAATGAAAATGAAAAGATAAATATACATAAATATCAATAACATAAAATAAATATAAAAGTACATAAATAAGTAAAAGCCCAACCAGATGGAGGCCCTCGGCAGGGGAGACCAAACGGCCGAGGGTTAGGGGGAAAGGGAAAGAAACCGGCGGACGATGCGGGCGGTATCGAGGAGCACCGCCTTCTGCATTTGAACCTGGAGCGGTCCGCCACGTAGTCCCAGCCGCCTCAGATGACCCGAGAGGCTGACTGGGATTAGCCCGTTTGCAGAGACGACTACAGGAATAATTTCGGTCGGCAGACCACCCCACATGTCGGTCACCTCGTGAGCCAGATCCAGATATTTTGTTTTCTTGTCTGTTTCGGCTTTCACGAGGTTCTCGTCATACGGAATGGTAATGTCGACCAAAAATATCCTTGACTGTGCCCGGTCCATCAGCACAATATCAGGTTTATTCGCAAGAATAGTCCTGTCTGTGATGATGGCCCGGTCCCAATAGAGCCTGGCGCGATCATTTTCGAGCACGGCTTCCGGCAAGTACTTGTAATACGGCAATTTCCGATCCACGAGACCGTATTTCAGAGCGAGCTCCTGGTGTAGAATTCTGGCTACTAGGTTGTGCCTGTGCAAGTACTCAGAGTTAGAAAGCGCCGAACAACCGGAGATAACATGCCTAAGTGACTCACCGGGATGGCGACAAGCTCGACAGATGTCGACGGTGCCATCCTTTAGGATGTATCTCCGATAGTTGTTGGTCTTAATAACCTGATCCTGAATTGCACAGACAAAACCCTCGGTTTCCCCGAAGAGATCACCAAAGCGTAGCCAGTGGAGGGAGGCTACTGTGTCTACGAAAGGCTCATGTAGAGCCTTGTAGAACCTCCCGTGGAGCTCCTTCTCCTTCCATACGGTCTCCCGGTCGGAAATGCTCTGCACTGCCGGGTCTTGCCATTGCTCGTTGGCTAAGGATAGAGGGGTAAGTCCTTTATCACAAGAAATGACGTCCCTATAGAATGGATCATGCGATCTCGCAAGGAAGTAATCACGGAGGCTGCACACTTCGCGATTATGCATGGTGAGCGCGCTCAAGAAGCCACGACCACCATGCTTCCGCGGCAAGTACAGCCTCATTACCGACGATCTCGGATGATGCATCCTATGGGACGTCATGGTAGTGCGAACTTTTCTATCCAGGGCGTTAAGTTCAGTCTGAGTCCACCTGAGTATGCCAAAGGTATACATGAGGACAGGCATGACCCAACCGTTATATGCGTGTGCCTTATTCACACCGGACAAAAGGCTGTTAAGCACTTTGGTCAAGCGTGCATAAAACACGTCGCAAACTGACTGTTTCATACCAGCCTCATCGATACCGATGTTCTGTGACATACCCAGGTATCGGTATGTTTCAGCCTCGGAAAGGGTTCTTAAGTTGACGGGCATAGATAAGTCTATGCCCTCAGAGTTAGCAACCCTTCCCCTTTCAACATGGAGGACCGCACACTTATCCGTCCCCAGCTCCATTCTAATAGAATTGCTAAATTCACACGTGATGTTTAGCAATTCCATAAGATGGGAGCGACTGGAGGCGAATAATTTGAGGTCATCCATGTAGAAAAGGTGGGTCACTTTTGTACCTCCTTTCCGAAGCTGAAATCCCTTCCCGGAGCCCTCCAGTAAAGTACTGAGAGGGTTCAAAGAGAGGCAGAACCAGATTGGACTCAGACAGTCGCCCTGGAATATACCCCTTCTTATTCTTATGCGGCTTTCCGCAGCCGTCATCCGCTCGCCTAGATGACAGAGGATCGTACTCCACTGCCCCATACACTGCTCGAGGAAGTCTCGAACTGTATAGTGAATCTTGTACAGCTCGAGGACCCTCTTTAGCCATGTATGGGGCACCGAGTCAAATGCCTTTCTGTAATCTATCCAGGCGGCGGAGAAGTTCCGACAGTTGCGTTTCACCACTTTGCCAATGACCGCGTCAATGAGGAGTGGTTCACTGGTTCCACGACCGCCGCCCCGACATCCATTTTGAGCGCGCGACATCACCTGATTTAAGTCCAGGTGACGAGCGATTCTTGCGCTCAAAATGGATGTTAGTGTCTTGTATATGGTCGGTAGACACGTGATGGGGCGGTATTTGCTCGGGTCTGTGGCACCCTGATCTTTAGGAACCAAATGAGTGATCCCAGTAGTGAAGAGGCTTGGGAGCGACTTCTGGTTGAGAGCCTCTTGAAACTGTCGGGCGAGCACAGAGTGACACACCATGAACCCCTTCAGCCAGTAGTGATGCAGCCCGTCAAGCCCCGGACTTTTCCAGTTCGGGGCCCTACGGACCGCCTCAGCTACGTCATCCGGCGTTATGATGACGGGGTCCATGGGCGTAATACTCGCACACTGACTCGCCACAACTTCCGTCCAAGGGCCCTCGTTGTGGTTTACGGGCTCTGACCACAGGCTGCGCCAGAATGCGACCATGTCGGCCTGATTTGGTGCAGGGCCCGTTCCACTTACTATTGGTCGCTCCAATGATTTATAGAGCCTCTTCTGATCACTCTGGAAGAGACGATTCTGGTTGAACCGTGTCGACCTCTCGGTATATCGCCGAATCCGCTTTCCCCAAGCAGCTATTCTTTGCTTCAGGTCGTCTATGCGCTCCGTCAGTTTTTGCATTATATCCGGCTGGGACAAACTAAGATTTGGCCCAGCAAACGCCATCCTGACGGTGCGCACAATCCTTGGCCTGGTATTGCCTGACCTGAAGCATATCAGTCTGCCGATGAGGGCCCTAGCCTTTGCGATACGTTCTTCAATTCTTATTCTCCAGGCTGGGATAGCACTACTTTGTCCAGTAGCGCGTCCAGCCGTGGAAAGTTTGGCACCTATAATACGGCAGACTGCCAGTGCGGCGCCAAAAAGAATTGAGTCCGTATCGCAAAGGTCCCGGCTGGCTTCCAAATAGGTAACCAGCATTGGGTTCAGAGCCCTCACGACAGCCCGATTCCGCTTGCTTAGGGCTAAGCGGGGAAGTCGAGGTCGATTTTCGAGAGTCGTACTGCGCGTTTCCACAATCGCCTCTTCCAATGTACTCCTCATTTGCTCTAGTTCCAGGGCGACTGTTCCATCATCGTTTGAATCAACCACAACTGGCGTATTCACGGCGGCATCCACATTTGCCGTTTGCTCAGCAAGTTGTGGCGCCGCATCCTCAGCCGCAGCATTTTCACCCGATGAAGGAACAGCCTCACGTCGTAGCCGTTCGAGTTCGGTGACATCAAATGTATTTGAGCGCAAGATATACCGAACTCGGTCTGCCAGGTTTTGCTCGGTGACGGTTACAGATGGCTCCAGCTCAGCAAAAAGTCGATGCATCCTTGCCCGATACGCAAAACCTCCAGTTTCTCCCCCTTTCGCCCTAAAATACGCCCGCAATGCGTTGCTGTTCATCTGGGTTGTCCAACGCATGCGGCGTACTCCACCAGTGGCGGGTGCCGATTGCTGAGCCCGCGAAGACCCTGCCGACACCAAGCCAGCTGGTGGGGATGATGGATGCGAGGAGCTGCTGGGTGGTCGTGCAGCACCTCGCGCTCGGCTGGCGGTTCGCATGCTGTCGCGTCCAGCGCCAGCTCCAGACGCGCCCTGGCGACCTCCAGGCAGCGGCCCTTTGCGCGTTCCATTTGATTCCATCATCCATTTTAGGGCGTCATTTAGCGGGAGACGCCCAGACCCGGCGCCGTTTCATGGTTAGGCCATGTGCACAAGCGGGCCTTGGCACCTTCAATTTTTGCCGAGGCGCGGCACTAACACCTCTTGGCAAGGTGCTGACTGACTGCGCCGACGTAGCGGTTTTGTCACATAACCGTTATATCAGCGGGCGATGGGGTCGTCACTTCCCTACGCCTTAATATTATTATTATTATTATTATTATATAAAAGATTACAGCTAGTATCATTTAAAATACAAATACACCCAAACTTATTACGTATATAATTAGTAACTAGTTTCACTTGGGTTACACGAATAACCCACAAAATTAATACATAATAACTACGCATTAAGTGATCAATTATTTATATATTAAGCGCTCTTATATACAAGTGATTAACTATTAACGTATCAATCTAAGCATTTAAAGCGGTTACTGGTACGTTATTAAGTAATTTAAAAAAAAACGTTTAACAACCGACAGACGGACTGTAAATTTGCAAGAATTGCCTTTAACGTCCTATTTACGGAATAATAAAAAACAATCCCACTATTCGCTTGTGTTATAAAGTCAGTTATAATTATTAGACGTTGTTAATGGCATAATATAAAGCTATTTGGTATACATTATAGCTCTTTATTGTGCAAACCCTATTACTATAAAAACAAACGTTGCTTAGAATGTAGTAATAGTAATAGTATTAATAAGTGCTATTGTATGTTTTATATACAGTAGCACTAATTAGTACCTGTAGTACCTTCATGAACTATTTAGTATCGCTTCATGAAAATGTAGGTGTAGGCTTTATGGAAACATAGGTAACTTTGTCTCTTGACGTTTTTGGTAAGTAAAAGATTTGCATTTTTTTAAATTGTAATGTGAATGAAAAAGTTTAATTAAAGATTACTATATAGATACATTGCTCCATCATCATTACTAGTATAATTATCTGTGTTTTATTTGGATATTATTTATATATTTGAGTATACCGCCTTCGTAGTGCTATCACCCCTAAGCTTCATGACACAGAAAGCTGTTAGAATTAAGTCCGCATTTTGATCCTACTATTTGTAGGTTTCATTAAAGATTAAATAAATAAATATAATGCCTCCCGAACAAGTCGATTTCAGAAAAGACTTTAGTACCATAGACCCTACATAAAACAATAAAAAAACAGTCTTGCATATGTGGACTACGATAAAGCCTTTGAGTCCGTCGAAATTTGAGCGATGCTATATTGCCTTCAGCGGTGACAGATTGACTGTCGATATATGGAACTGCTGAAGCATTTGTACAGTAGCGCTACGGTGAATACTCGACTACGGTACCAAAGTACGAAAACTATACATAAGCCTAGCGTAACCATGTAAGCGCTTTATGTAATGTCCCTCGCCGCTGACTGTATGAGGAGGCTCAAGATCTCCTTTTACTCGGACTTTCAACTCAATAATACTTTGTAGGGGAAGTGTTAGCATATAGCCATATCGTTCGGCGTGAGAGGTTGCTTAAGAATTTATATTTTTTATAGAATTATGGAACAAGCGAGCCCACAGTCCAACTGATTGTAAGTTAAAGTGTGAAAACTCATATATCTCTGCATCTGCACAGGTCACAGCATTATAGCTATATATCCTCGACTAAGAATGAAAATGCGTTGTGGCCCCGAAGGACTAAGATAAAAAATTACCCTCAATTTCGTAACATTTCTACTTTACCGTAAAAAACGACGCCGGTTCTCTATAATCACCATACGAAATGCAGCATTATTCTGCTCTTTCACGCTGGTATTCTGTTAGAGTATGACCCTACCGCGGTCGAGCCGATACTACCATGCTGCAGCCATAGTAAAGCTGCAGCATAGCTCTACCACGTACTAAGATAATCATCATCATTACAACCCTTCACAAGTCCACTGCTAAACATAGGCCTCCCCCAGTGAACGCCACAAAGCACGGTCCTGAGCAATGTGCATCCATTGACGCCTTGCATGTCTCACCAGGTCGTCACACAATCTAGTGGGGGGCCGCCCTACCTTCGTCTACCAGTACGAGGCTGCCACTCGAGAACCTACAGCACTCGAGAAGGTACAAAGATAATATCCGCCCACAATTGCGCTTCCCCACTCTTTTAAATTACCTCTTTTGTAAACATATTTTTGTAACATTTACTCGAAGGCCTGAAATATTTCGGAATTACTAAAATTCCGATATGCAACGGTTTTCATAAACAATTCCTGGTCGCTATTTTTAAAAAGAATATATATTCTCTAAACACGTAAAATAAGTAGTTCCCACGCATCTGTAACTTACATAAATTTTGTACGCTAATAGTTAACACAGTTCAAAGACAGGGAAACCAAAATGTTGGCGGTGTTGATAATTATTTTCAGTTCAATGCCTATAACTTAGGTTTTAGCTGCCCGTTACTACGTCTATCGTGAGAGCAAAATTAGACCAAGTTACAAGTGTATGGCGATTATTAGGTTTTATTTCATTTAAATTATAGGTAAATAACACAATAATTTTCTAATCTTATTATTTTACTTCTTTATCATCATCATGATCACCATCAGTACTTAAATCGGTATAATAAATAATAAATGGGAGATGGCTTGTGGACGCACTCTTTTCCCACAAACCTAGCGTAGCTTTGCTGGTGATTTCGAAATCGCAGTAGTCATCGGTCTTGAAAATTTACACCTGTACTATGGGAAATGGTTATAACGCCATCTTTCAAAAACCATTAACATTTCTGTTTCCCATAATCGGACCTTACAATACCACAGGATGAAATAAACCATAGGTGTAAATCTATTTCTCAGAAATGTCCTTACAATGTTTTTCTTCATCACCTAGCACGTGGTACTAGAAGTTAACGGACCGCCTCGGCTTCGCCCGGATAGAATCTATCAATGTGGTGTTATTTTTTTTGATTAAAGTTTAATAAAAGGCCATTTAATTTTTCAATTTTTTTGAAAAAATTCTTAAAGTAAAGCCTAGATCACTCCTGGTATTGACTTCTATCTATATGTTCATGAAGTTTCATTACAATCAATTGAACTGTTCCAAACTTCAGCGCGGACAGAGACAAAACAAAAATGTTAAAATGTGGCATGCAAATAATCTTTTTAATTTAAACCTATCAACAATTTTTACGTTTTTTATTACCAGGGCCAGTATAATAAGATAGACAACGCAACTAAGGTTGTTAGCAAATGTGTGCTATCCCTTTAGCCGTAACTCTGTCCGTTGATATAAGGAACTTTTAATCGCGTGTTACATAAGGCCCGGTTTACATTTTGAGAAGTGCCAAGTGCGAGTGGTAAGTGCAACTGACAAATGACGTGCTTAGTGCGTGTGAACAGGCAGTGACAAATGATAAGTGGGAATAAAATACGCACTAATCACTTATCAATTGTCAACTGCACTTGCCACTCGCACTTGTCGCTTCTCAAAATGTAAACTGGGCCTTACACTTCTTCGAAAATTATCGTTATATCCGCCTTGCCAAATTTTAACCACTTAACATACATAGTTTGAAAAAAATATATATATATATATATATATATATATACTTGATATATGTGTATCAGAGTAGTTAATACACATTGATAAAACGGTTGTTTCTATATTTCAGACAGGCACTTCAATTGTATTTCTATATATAGATTAAAATTGCAATTTACAATAATTTCATTAGCTCCGGCGATGATCGAATTCAAATTTATTGCGTATAGGGGTCAATTAAATCTTCTTAGTATACATGATTATAGTAAAATATGCATGTAGTATACTGATTTATGAAACCCTTATTATATATATTTTGTAATTGGATAACAAGTCTGCCAACGTGCATTAATGCAGCGCGGCGGACTTGACTTCGCCCTAAAAATCCCTCTCAAAAACCAGAAGCGTCATATCGCGCGTCATTTATCCATGTGAAGAGACAGTAAGATATATAAAGCCTGTTATCTTTTTACTTTTACTTTACACTTAAATTATAAAAGCGTTTATTGAAATCACTATATCCTTACATTCTTTTGTTTCATATTTCGTGTTTCTCATTTAACTTTTGTTTCATATTTCGTGTTTCTCATTTAAAATCTTTTCTGCACTTAATCGCTAGTGGCATATTTTTAAACCATTTACAGTAGCGGCCTAGGCTCAAGATTAAGCCGTAAATAAGCCTTATTCTACTGTTAACAACGACGTTTATCATACTGAAAGCATAACAAAATTTAATATGCTTTGTCACATAGCGATGTTCTTAAATGGTACACAATGAGAGTAATTTCACAAGTCCGCTCGTGTTGCTTGCGCTAGGGTTAACACTCCAGTACAGATAGCTTCGCACGAATTTACGTTTCAATTAGCATATTCGTCTAGTACCTGTCTGTATTAATCTCACAATCATTGTATTATAATTTACCCAATGACAAATGCAGTTCTTTTTTTTTTTTCAATAACTAACAATGCTGTTTATTTTAATATTCCCTTAAACTTCAGGTAATGTACTATTAGGTTTCTATCGTTGTTATTTTTAGCCCCCGGAGCAAACAAAAGGTTTTTATATGTTTGGCTGTTATATGTATAACGTGTATCTGTGTACCTGCGTGTCTGTTTGTGGCATCGTAGTCCTCAAAGGGATGAACCAATTTAGATTGAGTTTTTTTTTTGTTTGAAAGGTGACTTAAACGAGTGTGTTTTTAGCTATGATTAAAGAAAATCTTTTCAGCCATTTGAAGATTATCGACCTTTTTTGTTTAGGGTTTTTTTTAAATATAATATCTGATTCATCAACAATTACATATATTTCATAAACAATCTACAGCCTACTGTTGGACAGGCTCAGACAAAATTATTAGTCTGAACATTTTGCATCCCATATCCAATATAAAGGCCATCACATTTCCCAAGCATTTCCTGTTGCATTTTCCCTTAAATACTCGTATCCACGGAATAATGGATTATCTTATAACTT